CAGCTTCTGCGCTGACAGGGAAGAGTCCACTTGGGATTCTCTCTCTCCCTCTCTCTCTGCCCCTCCCCTTCTCGTGTTTTCCTTCCCCCCCCTCATAAATAAATAAATTGGCATTTAAAAAATATATAGTGAAAACTACTAATTTGTTAACATAAAACTACATTCCTCTGGGTGAGGGTTACACCTTAAATGGCAATATGAGCATTTTCAGGTATTTTAAGATAATAAACATGGGTTGAAAAGATATAATTATTATAATCAGTCATTAATTTAATTAAGCCACTCTAGTCTGTTCATTCTACAGAAGTTTGTCGCCCAAGGAAGTAAAGTTTTTAATAAACTCTCAGCTGTTAATCCTTCTAAATACCATAAGAAAGTGAAAACCTCTCAGATTCAACCAAAATATTTTGTTTTCTTGGGAAAACTTCCTAACTCCTAGGTTCATTAAGCTTGTTCATTTCTGGGCAATCTGTGCCCGCGTGCGCACACGGGTGTGCATGCGTGTGTGTGTGTGTGTGTGTGTGTGCGCGCGCGTGTGTGTGTTTCGCAAGCTCAAAGAAAAGTCTCCATGAACCTGTTTCAAATTAATTTGTGCATCAATCTGTGCAGGAAGATTTCTCTATTTGATAAAAGAAGAGTGGGGGAAAGACATCACATTGACTTAAAAGTTTTGACTAATTTCTAACTGTGCCTGAGGAGTTTCCACTCTGTCATCCAATCAACAAAGGATTTGTGACTCTTTTCAGTGTGCCTGAGATTACACAGACAAATTACTTAAGAGCCCAAGGAGATTATCTCTAATTGGCATAAAAAGGATTTGGCATTAAAAACAAAACTCTCTGAAACTCTGACAGCGTTTGGTGCCCAAAGGGTAAGGCAGTGCCCCATGTGGAAACACTGTGGAAATAAATACATCAGCTATGATAGGTGGCCTTTTAAGGTCTTATTTAGAGTTGAGATTTACTTTGCTTTCACTGCTTCGCAGCACCGTGTCATACTTGCTGAATGAGGGCAAATGATAGACACATCTTGGCAGTCCCCCATCGTAATGCTTGCCTTTGTTATAGGTAATTAATTCTCATTATTTATGAAATACAAATACCAATGCCCACTACAAGACAATATGAAATACTTGTTTGGATAATGAAGAGGCCACAGATTGAAGACATCTGGGGAGGCAGGGAGAGGGGCAGAGAGATGTGGTTCACACTAGCAGATAGGTAGGAATACGTAGCAGTGAATTTCACCAAGTATTTAGCTAATGCTTATAATCACAAGTCACTGGATTAGGTAATGGGCTGCTATCAGAATCACTGTTCTCAATGGGTTTAAAATCCCAAGAAGAAAATAGGATAGGCTTGTCATAAAACTGAATAAAATCACATGGAAAATGTAATAGAAAAATCCTACGACAAAATCAACAAAGTTGGGTAAGCCATTAGAAATCATTTAATGCAAATCGTTTGTTTTGTGGTTGAGGAAACTGAGGCCCAGAAAGACAAAGTGTCTTACTTATGGCCACATGGACAGCCAGATAGTCTGGGCAAGAACACGGATTTTAAATTTTTTTTTATGTTTATTTATTTTTGACAGAGAGAGAGAGAGAGAGACAGAGCATGAGTGGGGGAGGGGCAGAGAGAGAGAGGGAGACACAAAATCTGAAACAGGCTCCAGGCTCTGAGCTGTCAGCATAGAGCCCGACGCGGGGCTCGAACTCACAGACCGCGAGATCATTACCTGAGCGAAGTCGGACGCTCAACCGACTGAGCCACCCAGGCGCCCCAAGAACACAGACTTTATATTCTTACCAGTATACCACACTGCCTTACAGGACATACGTACTAGCAAATAATAATATAAAAGATAAGTATATGAGTTTAGGAGAGAGAGTAATGTCTATAACAGTGTGCTCAGAAAGAATTACTGAAGGGATAACTTTAAATATATAAAAGGCAAGCAAGTAAACAACAAAAATCAGACCTTGAAGAAAAGGTCCACCTTCAAAGAGCAAAATGGAAGGAAAGGGAGTGGGCCAGGGGAAGAACATGAGAATGGGCTTAGATGCGGGGGACAGAGCCATGCTTAGGACACAGTGGAGACTCGAGAGAAAGGGGGCACAGGGTTAAAGGAGCCCCATGTAAGGGCAGTGGGAGTGAAAAGATGCAGCAAACATCTCCCCCTTCGAATCCTCCAGGGAAAACTTTGGTTTTGGAATTCTCTGTTGAGGCCAACGGTGCTCAATCAATCCAGTCCCCTCATTAGCCCCTACACACCCATGTTCCTTCCTAAACTTTTGCCTTTGCTCATGCAGATCTTTTCTTTAAGTTCAAGGGCAGATAGAAAGCCTTAAAGCCTTAAAAGGTCCCGGATCCTAGGACCCACACAAGGCTCTGTTTCCTGAACCATGTTGAGTACTGGCTGAACTGCAATCATGACAGATAGATGTCATATCTTGCACTTACTGTGTGTTGTTGTGCATGGTCACAGCAATAGTAGGCATGCTGTGGGCCCTTAATTGCTTCTTGGCCAAATAATGAAAAAAAGCAGCTTTTCCAACAGACCTGTTCTCAAGTCCTTGTCGCATGCTCACAGGTTGTCACCTTAGCGGCAAAATGATGATGGTGACGATGATAATGGTCAGGATGAGGACACCAGTGGTGGTAGTGGTGGTGGTGACCGTAATCACACTAATGACAATAGCAGCTAACATTTCTTGGGGACTTTCAATATGCCAGTCACTCTTCAGAGCACTAACATGTACAACTCCATTTAACACTTGACAGAATCTTGAGATGCATACTGTTATAATGACTTTACAGTAGAAGAAAATTAGGCGCCAAATTCTGATCACAAAAAAAGCCCCCCAAAACTTTTATGCAGAAAGTTCCCTTTCATGGCTGTGACGTATAGACTAGTGTTTATTTTAAATTCTGATTTCCATAAGATAATTGGGGTTAAATATTCTTTTCTTTAAAGAGTACTCCAGGGGCACCCGGGTGGCTCAGTCGGTTAAGCGTGCGACTGACTTCAGCTCAAGTCACGATCTCACGTTTTCCTGAGTTCGAGCCCCGCATCAGGCTCTGTGCTGACAGCTGGGAGCCTGAAACCTGCTTCGGATTCTGTGTCTCCCTCTCTCTGTTCCTCCCCCGCTCACACTCTGTCTCTCTCTCTCAAAATAAATAAAGATGAAAATAAAAAGAGTATTCTATGCATACATTGTTTCTCTCCTTCCACATGAAGCAGGTAGGATAGTTAAAAAATGTTAACCACCCATAAGGCAGGAATATCAGCCTTTAACTATAGATTTTTGACTCTCAGCTCTGTGCGGAAGGGCATCCTATTAGATTATGGCTCTGTCTTATCCCTCACCACCACTCTTGCCCCTAGAGTAGGAAGAGTAACGTATCTTACCGGAAGGTTTAGGAGAAGGATCTGAGCATGTGTGGTTCGGTGCCTTCCTCTTCCTTTTCATAACAGCGCATCTGGAAACTTGGATCACCTCTTCCAACCTCAGTTTAACAGAGTGGACCCAGCTGACGAGCTGGAGGAGAGCCACAGTTGGAGGTGTGTAATTCTAAAGTTCAGTATTAAGTAGTACAGTGTTGCCACATACCCAAACCAAGATTTCAACAGCTCTGCTGGATACGCAACTGACATTTTGGTCCCTATGTGCTAGACTCCTTGTATAGCTCTCATTGGTTCTGAAATTGCTCATGGCAGATGGGTGCTTCCTAAAAACTGAGCCATGAACCAAAAGATGTCTCTACATAGAAGAGAATTTGCAGTAAGAATGCAAACTTAAACTTAAGTACAAAGCTTTAATTCTGTATTTAGCGCATAATTTTGCTAAGCGATATTTTATTTAATCCTTGAATTCCAGGAATGGGACTACCCTCGAATCTATTACATCAAATGCTTTCATACAAATTATATCGTTGAAGAAACAGTTTGGAGTCTCTGGCAATGTATCCACACCTGTTGGTACAGTTCTTTCTTTCCCAGTAGGATGCGTGTACCACTAAGAAGATTATACCAGATAAATACTTTGCTTTGTTTGCTTGTTTTTAAAGCGTATTTATGTATTTTGAGAGAGAGCGCAAGCGAGCAGGGGAGGGACAGAAAGAGGGGGAGAGAGAATCCCAAGCAGGCTCCTCACTGTCAGCGCATCAGCATGGGGGCGGGGGTGGGGGGGAGGGGGAGTGTGCTCAAAATCACAAACCCTGAAATCATGACCTGAGCCAAAAATGAAAAGTCAGAAGTTTAACCAACTGAGTCACCCATTCACCCCCCAAATACTTATTAGCAACATGAAATGACAAACCTAACCTAAGAAAAGACTCTCTCTTAACGAGTAAATGTCATTCTCAAATGTTTCTGTATTAAGAGATCACACTAGAATTTACTATAATAGTACCTATTATAATGTTATGCTATGTCAACCATACCTATATCGCCACAGTTAAGGGGGCGATTTTTTTAATTTGTTTTTTTTTAATAAAAAAATGATAATTCCTAGTTCTTTCACTTAAGAGAGACATTAGCAAAATGTAACAATGTTATGTTTGGGGATTCTTTTAACATTTTTAAGCCCCAGACTGGCAAGAACAAAGAATCACTTTGCTAACTAATGTATTAAATATGTTGTCTATTTATATAGTAATTGTTTGATGGAAAATTCATCTCTTTTGTTCCTTCTTATCTTTTCTTTCCTCTTGTCCATGCAGTATATTTATGAATTATGCATGTGAACATAATTAAAAGTAACAATTGGTGAATTGTACTCCATGGACATTGTTCCATGTTTCAAGTCTTATTTAGACTGAATCAAATTTATGCAAAGAGAAGAGCTTATAATTAAATTCATAGCCATCTTTCCTGGGAAGGTTTCTTTTATGTAAAATGCATTGCTTGCTAGAGGCTGTTTTTCTGACCAAAGGCTTTGCTTGGCATCCTTAAAAAAAAAAATCAGCGGATAATTGAACAGCGCCCCCCATCCCTTTCTCCAGATGAAAGTTTCATGTAACTGGTTATCCATCATCCTTGATCCTCTACAGTTTGGTTAGTCTGAAGACCGTGTAGAACTTTTAAGAATCCACTCCCACTGTGGTTCTGTTATTTGCAAATGAGGAACAGATACAATATGGCAAATGGTCGAATGAGATCAATTCTTAAAATGTTCTCCTTTGATTACTCTCAGGAGCTCCCGCAGTCACTTTTCATCTTTTGTTTGCTTGTTTGTTTTCGTGTTTTAGTCCAAGAATCCTGGAAAAGGAAAGAGACAACCGAGACCCTTAGAAAGACCATCCACAGGAATATTTTATTCTATAAGGAAAGAAAAAAATAAATAAAAAGGATTACTGCAAACATTAGCCCGACTCCACACTTCTTTCTTCCCCATTCACATTTCTCAAAGTATTCTTTCTTTAGGAAAATACTTTTTATTAAGTGATTCTGTTATTTTAAGCTACGATCCAAACCCCCAGTTTAGTGTCGCGAGCACACTTACCGAGAATCATCTACACTCCACCATCTATTAAAGCTGAGAATATTCCTCGCAGAGCCTGTTCCCATATTTTACTAGCACATACCTGGATAGTCTTTCTCTGTGTTGACCTAGGTCATCCTTAGCAATTTCCTTCTCTACCCTTATGATTTTCCTGAAACAGAAAATCCCTCTGTAAAGATACCACATGATGAATTTGTAGGAAGGAACTGACTATTCCCTTTCACTGTCAACAAACAGTCATTTCTGATTCCAAGTCAATTTCTCTGCAGTGCGACAATGTCGTGGGATGGATAGATCTGAAGAAACGTCAGATTTGCTCTTAGGCTCAGGGAAGAATGTGAGGTGCAAGCACTGTAGCTTGGCCTGCTGTTTGTAAACGTACTTTGATATTCTCTTCCCTTCCTCCCTCTGCTCTGCTCTTCTCCCATGACTTGAAAAATGTCACATTTAAAAGCTTTGGCTGGCCCACGGTGTCACCCCGGATCCATCACCATCTTCTCAGCTCATCTTTCTCTCTATTAAATAGAAGATATTTCTATTTCTAGATGAAATGGGAGAAACCCAGGCCTGATGAACAGCTTCCTGTTGCCATTATTACCGGGTAGGATATGATTGGAGGGGGTTCAGCCGTGATCTAGTGTTATTGCCTTCTGTTGTGCTGACTGGAAACAATCACTCCTATCCACATACTGTACAGTTCATTTTTAAGAATTAAACTGTTAATTAAAGAGACGGATAATGAAGACAGGAAGCATGCCCCGAAAGGTGGTGACAGATGTCACAGGCTGCAGGTGCTAACGTCTGTTGAGAAGATACATGAATTTCTTAAATTATCTCATATCTCCAAATAGTTGAATGAAGTCAATTATTGTAGATCTTGGGGGACAGAACCAGTTGTTTGAAACAAGCACTGCCTCTATTTACAACAGAACCCCCTTGGAGATGGGAAAGGCAGTGATTTTCCACCAGATTCTGGAGCGTGGCCATATTGTGGCCCTTTGAAATGTCCCAACAAGTTCAGGAGATGACCTTAGGAGATACCCAAACATGGCATTAAATACTCTGAATCACGTAGTGAGAAAAACGTTATTTTATTTTTAGTCTTTCTTCTTATATCCAAGAGTCAGTCTCGGGTAGTCGGAGTACTTCTTTAACATCACCCATCATGGGCTAATCTTCCTTTTTCATAGAGAGAAAAGACTCTGAACCTTCTGATTGTACCCGGGTACAATTTAGGAATATCAGTTCACATTTTATTTGCTTTGTCATTATCTTCCATTTATTATAAGCAAAACTTATTTCATTTGTGGTAATCATATGAAGTTTCCTTTTAAAATAAACTAGTTTAAGAGAAGGGAGGAAAGAAGACAGAAAGAGGAGAGAAAGAAAGAAAGAGAGAGAAAGAGTAAAGAAAGAAAGAAAGAAAGAGAAAAAGAAAGAGAGAGAGATGTCAATTTAAATAAATATATAGGTAGTAGTAGACATGATATGCATATATAACAAAATAATTGAAGAAGAAAAGACCTAATGTGAGCACGTGGAAAAAAATTGTTAAGGTTTTATACAAACGACTGAAGTTTGGCAAAGGCTGGTCTAGCAAGGATTTGTGTCAAAACCACACAAAGGACTCAAGTAAGTCCCAAGTGCGATGATAAAGATATCAGAGAAAAATATGGACATGAAATCGGTATTAAGCCTACAAGGAAAAATTGCCTGATGTTTCAAGAGCTATTTTTAGAGTGTCTAAGACCTGTTGTTTATTAAAGACATTGGTTTTCTTTATTCCAAAGAAAAAAGAAAGAACAAAAGGTGTTCAACAAAAGTAAAACAGGAGTTAACAAAATTTGATCCCTTGCCTCTCATACACTCTATTCAAAGTGACGCATCCTGAAACTTACAAAAACAAGTGAATTTTGACTGGAAATAGAAGGTCAAAAGTCAGGGATTTATTTTCAGTTCATTGGACACTTGGTAGAGAGATGGATAAGGCTGTCTGATAGAGAGGACTAGAGCCTGCTTTGAAAGACCCTGATCTGGGGAAGATGATTTTCTCTTCTTTTTTGGAGCCATCACCACCCTAGGCTCTCCAGCCTCTAAGACCTCAGAGGTTGTGTTAACCGCTGTATCTCCAGGGTCTAATTCATGTCTTGCCTATAGCGGGCACTCAGAAGTCTTGAATGAGGGAATAAATGAATGAACAAAGGCACTGGGTCTCCATATAGGACCCATTCGAGTGAAATGTAATGAGAGGGAAGAAAAAAGCACTTCCTCCCTCAGAAAAGAGTAACCAAACTCCTGAAGTCGACAATTTGTTTTTTCTTCCCACTGTTAACCTTAAAAGTGAAGGTCATAATCAATGCAGTTCAGCCATCCGCTTTACACTCAGTGCACGAGTTTTGTTCATCTCTCTGTGAAGCTGAAAAGATTATAATGAAAATGCCCAAAGAAAGAAGGGAGGGACAATTGTAAATAGTTTTCTCTGACAACTGGTATCAGCATTTTCTCATAGCCTTGCATTTATTCAGACGAACATGACAAATGTATTACAATGAATAGATGAGATCTTTCTGTCTGGATATGGCATAAAAATAAAACAATACTGTACTGATTTTTCTCTCTGAGTATTGTCTTCCTCGTACAATTGCTGAACATTGGCAGAGCTGTTAACACCATTGATAGGAAACAAAGCAAAACTTGGGAGAGATTCTGCAGCCCGGGGCTTGTGAATGTCTGGGATTTACAGCTCAGCTTGATAACGCTGTCAGACTCTTCTGGTTTCAATATCCTGCCAGCTACCATGGGGGCTTTTTTCTCTTCATGAAAGCGCACCTTTCCCTGAAGGTCACACATTTACAGTTTCTTAAAGAGATCCCTACTGGTCATGGGACTCCTTTAGGTTTGAGGAGCCTCCTGGGTGCTTTGAAGTATGGCTTCTTGCACGCTGCCCTGCAGCCCCCAGGCATGGAGCTAAAAACCAGAGAAATGGACTGTTCTGAATTGAAAGGACCCCCGGCATTCCACCACGGAGTCCCTTCCACCTTCTTCCCAGAGTCCCCCGGTCTAGCTGCCACTGAAAACTTCTCACCAGCTTTCGGGAAGACATCAACCCACCTTCGTGAAAGTTTTATGCATGCTTAAATATATCCTAAGCAGGCATGAGGGCAATTAAATCAGGTCTGTATCATACAGCACTCTGGATAGATAACCAACTTAAAATATTCCCCAGCCTGTGCCCTACATTTGAGTTTTTAATATGAGCACGGTAACTTTTCCCATTCTGGAAGTGATCGGCAAGAGTCCAATCATCCCCCACTGCTCCCCAAACCACTGGCAGGAGGGAGCTTCATTTCCTGATGAATCATCCAAACCGACCCTGGAGAGCTTTCCAGGCCAAATGAGCCAAGGCCAAGTTCTCTCAGCACTCGGTGCCTGCAATCATTCACATCATGAAAAAGGAAGTGAGAGCCTTGTTCTGTGGATGATTTGGGGATGTGCTTCTGTTACCTTTCTCCTGGTTTTCCTTGGTCTCTTGTTTTATCCTCTTTGGCCCATCGTGCAAGGAGACTGCAACTTTTAAGCCCTGCGATATCTTTTCAAAGGAGCCTGAGTAAGAGGACTCTTCAGGGATGGTGACCTGGCTGAGATACCCACGGAAAATCACCCAATATTGCAAGATTCCCATCAGAGGCAGCAGAGTGTCCTGAGAAGAACACAGGCATTGGAATCAAACAGATGCGGATGTGATTCCAAGCTGTCCTCACCTTAGCTACACAGCATACTTTGGAACTCTATTTTCTCATTCGTAAGTGGGAAGAAGGGACGTGATATACATAAAGTATCTCGTATATAGATGCCAACTGTGATCATGGTACTGTCTCAGTCCTTTATCCGTGAGAAAGAATATTTTTTGAAGTATATTTTGCCCTACTCTGTTTCCAAACTTTCTTCTGCTTGATTCTGCCTTGAACATACAAGGTTTTTCTAGCTTTTCAATTAATTCCCCTGGAATTAAAGTTTATGAGAACAAGTCATTCTTTTCCTAATTGCTGTGTTACCAGCTACTAGACCATTACTTCGCACACAGTTGTAGCTCAAAATAGCTGTTGGTAGGTCCACTTAATACTCAACATTTTGAGCAATACTAAGAACACAAACACTGTTCCTTCAGGTAGAATCAGAATTCCTTCCCAGAATCCCAGAGGCTCACATTTGAGACTGCTGATCTCTTTAAGGCTGTGTCCGCTATCTCCAACCAGATTGGAGTCTTTGGACAGCAAGAATGCCTCGCGTTTCTTTAGTTACCTCCTGGCCAGCACATCAGACACAGCCAGGATAGGTTAATATTGACCCTGACAAATTCTTCTTATAAGAAACTGCTGTGGCTTTGGGAGATATCTCCTCCAAGTCTTATTCCTGCCAAGGCACTTGGTTTTTCTTATTTGCAATTAATTACAGACTCTACATTGTCATTCTAACCTCTCCGCTTCTTGGATACTATAAAAAATTTCCAATTCAGTCGATACACACACACACACACACACACCCATAAAACTAAAATGGACTTTTTAATTGGGATTCCTTTTAAAAAGGCAAATAGAAGTCTACTTTTTACTCCCTGTTTAGTTTTTTGGAGTTACTAGCAGTATTTTTATTTTTTGCAAGGTGTATCAATTATCCTCACGATAGAAGATGCATCCTGAAGAAACGTCAGAGCTTCTGAAAACTCCACTCCCATCCTTCTGACTTCATCAGGAGACCTCTGAGGAATCAGAATTGCTGTTTAAAGTGTACATACTCCCATAATTCATCTTTCTCC